TAGATATTAGCATCCAAATGACCAGAATAATAACAGATTCAGTAATAAAGAGGTAAAAATTAGTACCATGAATTTGTGTCACATTCTCCTTTTGTTCGTCTTTAAATTACACAGAAACAAACACTCTTTGTAATGTTTTTTCGACTAAAACAAAGCTGAAATAACAAGAGTGCGAGTTTTCAGCTGATGTTTACTGTAAATGTGTGTATAAAAGTGCAGTAGGATACGAGAGAGGATGCCGTTATTTCTCCTTCACAGCGCAGTGATCATTTCATCCTCCACTGGAGCTTCGTCTTTACTCTACACACACACACACACACACACACACACACACATGAAGCAACTTCATTAAACCTCAGCAGTGATTTATTAATTATATTATTATTATTATATCTGTCTTAGTTCTGCAAGTTAGACTATAAGTCACTCTGGAATGTTTAAACTCAGCTTTATAGCTGATGCTTGTGTGTGTGTGTGTGTGTGTGTGTGTGTGTGTGTGCAGTGGATTTGGAGTATTTTACCGCTCACGCACACACACACACACACACACACGCGCGCGCGATCAGTGATGCTCGAGTTGAATCTGAGCTCTCACCAGGAAGACGAGTGTGTGATGGATGATGAGCTCTTTCGTCAGATGAACCATGTTTATGTTCATGGCCAACTCCTCAAACAGCATGGGAACAAACACCACTGCTAGGTTCTGCGCCGTCATCTTGTTCACCTGACTGTGGAGCTGCACGCTGTATACGCACACACACACACACACACACACACACACACACACACAAACAGTGTCCGGTAAAACAAACTAGTCAGACACAACACCACAAAGAATAGGGTTTACAATCATCGATGGACAGATCAGCGGACAGACATACAAGGACACAGACACTGGGACAGACAGACGGAGACGCAGACAGACAGACGGAGACGCAGACAGACAGACGGAGACGCAGACAGACAGACGGGTGAGGTGTATAGAGTGTGGTGTTACGTGTAGAGGTGACTGAACAGGGTGGACAGTAGGACCCTGTTGTCAGGAGGAAGAAGTTTCACCAGTCTGCGATACTCCTGCAGTCTGTTAGTGACATCAGTGTGAGCTGAAACACACACACACACACACACACACACACATCAACAACTCCATCAGTTCTGTTGGGGTGATGTGTTATAATCACTGCAGCTCTTCGGCACACGGTGAGTGAAATGTTATGACATCATAACAGCACTGACATCACTATGACATCACAACATTATAAAGTTTACCTGCTGTGTAGTGGATATTTTTGACTTTTGATATTTTAGTCTCAGTAACTGAATCTGAGTAAATTAGAGCCTCAGGTGTGGGTGACTGTGCGAGTGTGTGTGTGTGTGTGTGTGTGTTACCTGCCGCTTTGACCCAGCTCTCTCTCTCAGATGGTGGGATGAGTAGAGTTGAGTTGCGGAGGAAGTGCTTCAGCACTCCTGCTACTTCCTGCACACAAACTTCATTTGTCTCCAAAACGACGTTGTCCGGAGCCTCGCGCAGTTTCTCCACCAGCTCCGCGATCTTAACGACCGACCCACAGCAGCGGTACAGACCCTCCACCTTCAGGCCTAACACACACACACACACACATGAACTTCTTCTGGATTCTCCTCCTTTTCTTCTTCTTATTTTGTCACTCAAATTTTATTTATAAAAGTTTATCCATTTGGCCAATCAGAGACCAGAATTTCTTCGTGACCATTTTCACCCATTTATATATTTTTAGGTAAAATGAAGCACTTTGGACGTGATTAATTCGCTCTGGATAAGGGCGTCTGCCAAATGCCGTAAATGTAATTCTCTGCATTTAATGTCTGCTGATTTCAGCAATCAGTGACATGCTCCGGCCCTAAAAGCTCCTGACACTGGAACAGGAAGTGAAGTCATCTCAGGTTCCTCGGGTTCCTCAGGTGGTGTTATTGTATGAGAGATTTTAATACCTGTTTTATTGATTTATTGATTTTCTCACCGTACAGCGTGATGTGAGAGATGCAGCGCTGCACTTCAGGGGGAACCCCCGCAGGAAGTGTGTACAGGGAGTGATGATGTGAATTCCTGTCGCTGGAGACGGCGCTGGAGAGCAGACTGTAAAATTTGCTGCAGCTGTCCTTGCTCTCGAACTGAAGATACACCGTCCTGATCACAGGAGAAGATATATGAATATGCAAATTAAATACGAATATGCAAATTAGAAACACACTTCCATTAGAAGAACACTCACTTCTCTGCTGCAGTCACCTCCACTGTGTTCTCCGACAAACACACACCTGAACACACACAACACAACACCTCATTAACACAACACACACCTGTACAAGTCAAGTCAGGTGGCTTTATTGTCATTTCAGCCATATACAGCTGGTTAGTGCACAGTGAAACGCAGCAGCGTTCCTCCAGGACTACACCCTAACACGGGGTGGATGATGAGATGGGTGAAGTGAGTGAGATATTATTATTATGGCTACGACA